ACTGCACATGTATAACATATCAAATTGCTTGCTGTTTTAGGGAGGATTAGAAAGGAGGGAGAGAATCTAGAATTCAAAATTTAAAAAAACAAATGCTGAAAATTGTTTTTACGTGTAATTGGAAAAAAATAAAATATTAAAGAAATGGAACAGATTTGTTAGCAAGCATTTTTTTTATTAATTTATTTTGATTTATCAACAGTCACTTCCATAAGCTTTTGAGTTTTAAGTTTTTCTTGCCCTCCCTCCCCAAGATGGCACGCAATCTGATGTTGACTATACATATACAATTCCTATTAAACATGTTTTCACATTAGTCATGTTGTAAGGAAGAATTAGAACTAGTAGGAGGAACCGCCAGAAAGAAGAAACAAAACAAAACAGAAGGAAAAAAATAGCAAAGAGTATGCTTCGATCTGCATTCAAACTCCATAGTTCTTTCTTTGGATGTGCGTACCATTTTCCATTATGAGACCTTTGGAGATGTCTTAGATCCTTGCTTTGTTGAGAAAGGCTAAGTCTGTCAATATTAGTCATCGCACAGCATGGCTGTTACTGTGTACAACGTTCTCCTGGTTCTCAGCAAGCATTTATTAAGCACCTAACTATGTTCCAGGCACCACTCTGATCGCTAAAAAGAAAGGCAAAAGCAGTCCCTGTCCTCGAGGAGCCCACAACCTAGTAGGAGAGACAGTAAGAAAATAAATATGTACAAACAGGCTATATACAGGATAAATAGTAAGTAAGAGAGGGAAGGCAGTAGAATTAAGAGATTGGGAAAAGTTTTTTGTAGAAAATGGAATTTTAGTTGAGACTTGAAGACAGGGAAACCAGGATGCAGAGATAAGGGAAAGCATTCCAGACATAAGGGACAGCCAGAGAACATGCCCTGAGCCAACAGACGGAGTGTCTTGTTCATGGGACAGCAAAGAGGCCAATGTCACTGAATCAGTGCATACTCGGAGGGGTATAAAGTGTAAGAAGACTAGAAATGTGGGTAGAGAGTGGGGCTGGGTTATGAAAGGCTTTATTCCCAAATAGAGGGTCTTTATTTCCATATGGACCACTGGACGTTACTGACTAGAGTTGTGAAATAGTTGGTCCTATGTTTTAGGAAAATCACTCTGGTGGCTGAATGGAAGATGGTTTGGAGTGGAGAGAGACTTGAGGCAGACAGCCACCAGCAGGATATTACACTTGTCTATGCATGAAGTGATGATAGTAGTGTAAGAGGAGAAAAGGGGGCGTATTAAAGATGTTGCAAGGGTAAAATCGACAGGCAACGGATTATGTATGGGGGAGGGGCTTGAGAGAAATCCAGGATGACTCCTAGGTTGCAAGTCTGAGGGACTGGAAGGAATGGTGCTGTCTTTTATAGTAATAGGGAAGTTTGGAAGGGGGAAGGATTTAGTTTTGTGGTATGTCCAAATCTCATAAAGAAGACTGTTGCATATACTGTTATCTGGGTTTGGTGGTTGATCCCATGACAGCACCATACTCTGACCCTCTCCTAGAAGGTATGCTAATTTTCTTTTTTTTTTTTCCTGCTTCTGTCAGTGTACCATTTGTTAAAAGGTATGCTCTCTAGGAAGAAAAATTTAGTTGTGCATTACTGATATAAGTTTTTGACCAAGATGGGATTTCCTTGGGCAGATTGGTTTGAGGCTTTGGTTTCCAGATTAATTGCAAGTTCCAGTTCTGTAAAACTACCCTTTCTTGTGTTGTCTTCTGTGTGCTGCAAGAGCACTTACCAGTATTCAGGAGTTCCTAGGTAATTGTTTTATAGGTTTTTCTGATTGTATCTGTAATTTATTGAGTTTCCAAGTTCCTTGGGTATGTTTGCAAAAAAAAATGTAGGATAACATGTGACCTGTTATATATAACCCTGCCTTATTTTGTTGAACAGTTTCGATTAAGTCACCTGTGACCAATAGTCACTATAACAAGAAAGCCCTCTAGGTGGTGTAGTAGAGTGCTGGATTTCAAGTCAGAAAGACTTGAATTTGAATCCTTACTCAGACATAAGTTATGTGACCCTGGCCAAGCTACTTAACCTCTTTCAGTCTCAGTTTCCTCAGCTGTAAAATGAGGATAATAATAGCACTTACCTGTTGTGATAATCAAATGAAATAATATACTGGAAGTATTTTGTAATCATTAAAGCACCATATAACTTTCTTATCGTTTTAAAATACACTTGGCCCACCAGCGCTGAATTGGTGCTTACTAAGTGCGACTGTACAAAATCATGGAGGAGTAATCAGCTGCTGAATTAGCATGAATTAGCATGCTCATAAGGAGGTTGAGTAGAAGAAACTGATACACTGAAACTCAGCTTGAAACAATGAAGCATTGCTATGTATGCTAGGAAATGGTATGCTTCAATTAAACTCTGTAAGCACACTTATTGCTGACAGACAGATTTTTACCAGTTGCTGTATAGTATTGCCATAAATCAAAAGGTAGTCGTTGCATGTTAAAAAACTGTTGACACATGTACACAAATATTTCACCACACCTAGGTAGCCTATATAGACAGCATTCTCACCCTCATCATCTTTAAATGTGCTGCATAGTCTATTGGGAGAAACATCTTTGTATCAGTTATCTCAAATAAGGGTCTGATAGTTAACATGTGTAAGTATATATGTATAAGTATATTCTTATGTACATGTATCACATAAAAATGAGACCAAGAACCATTCCCAAATGGATAAGAGATAAAGGTATATGAAGAATTATGAAAAGAACAGTCCCTGCCCTCAAGGATCTGGCATCAGAGTAGAGGGAAATAACATGTGAAGAAAATCATGTACAAAATGTACATAAAGTAGTTAGGAAACAATTTTTTATGAAAGGTCACTAGCAACTAGGGCAAAGGTTCCCAACCTTTTATGGTCCCTATATTCTTTGGATTTCAGTAAACCTTACTTCCATTTAGTATGAAAGGAAATAAATTGTAATATTTACAGTGCATATCTACATAAAAATATAAAATAAAAATATTGATTTTAATAGGATAATATAACCTTGTCAGACAGTCCTTGTCCACTTTGAAAAGCTTCTCAAATTCACTGGGAGTATACATACTCCAGATTGGGAACCTCTGCACTAGGGGGATCAAAGTAGACTTTCTGTGGGAGCTGGTATTTGGGCTAAGCTCTGAAGGAAGCTAGGTATTCCACAAGGCAGAATCAAGTTGCCAGCCATAGGTAGATGCTGTGAAAAGGTCCAGAGATGAGAAATATCTAGTATAGAGAGTACTAAGTAGGCCAGTTTAGCTGGAACATAGAGTTCATGAGTAGCAGAAATGTGTAGTCAGCCTAGGAACGTAGACTAGATACAGGTTTTGAAGGGGTTTGCCAAACAGGAGTTTACTTCTTATTCTAGAGGTAATTGGAATTTCTTGAACAGAGTTGGCACATGGTCAGACTTGTGCTTCTGTAGCAGCAGTTTTGCAGCTGTGTGGAAGATGGATAATGGAAGCAAGACACTTGAGGAAGGGTAACTAATTAAGAGGATGTTTAAGTAGTCCAAGCAAGAATTGATGAGACCTGAGCTGGGCTAGTGGCTCTTCAAGTAGTGAGAAGAATGTAAGAAATGTTAGGCAACTGTTGGATAATGGCCAGGGGTGGGGGGTAGGGAGTGGGAGGACCCGTTGGAGGCAGCACAAGAAAGAGGCAAAGATGACTGGGGAGATGGTGGTGCCCTTGACAGACATAGAGATGTTAATAACAGGGGAGAGTTTGGGGGTCATATGGTAGAAAAAAGCATTGAAGTCGTGAAGACTAGGGTTCAAGTTCCATTTCAGACACTTATCAAGTCAGACTGTGCAAGTAACTTACCATCTTTGGGCCTCAATTTCCTTATCTGCAAATAAGTGGGCTAGACTTATTGATCTTCAAGGTCTCTTATAGCTATAGATCAGTGATCCCATAAAATAGGCAAATTACTAGGCTGCTGTGATGCTATTTTGAAGACTTCTAGATCTAATTGATTTGCTCCTGGATCCATACATCTCAGAGGAAGTATATTTGAGGTAGAAAAGCAAGGAGGCTTGGTTGCTTGGTCATTCTGGGTTAGTGGACCGTGAAATATATCTTATAATGAGTCTGCCCCCTTATCTCTGCTTTGGGAGTTGGTCGTCTTCATTGAAGGTTGGAGACAAGATGGGAGTCTCCAGACAAGAGGCTTGTGGGAAAGTAGCAAGTGACAAAGAAGTGACTATGAGCCAGAAGGCCATTAACTTCCATTTTCAGTCTTTTCCATGTACTCTAGTAGATAATTTTTAAAACTGCTGACATTTGTTTATAAAGCACTTTAAAATATATAAAATAATGTTTTAAAAAATTTGATCCTCACAACAAGCCTATGAGGTAATTTCTACAATTATTATGTTATATAGATAGGAAACTGAGGCTTAGAGAGGTTGTGATTTGCCCATAGTCTTTTAGCTAGTAAATGTCAGAAGTTATATGTGATTCCAAATCCAAATTTCTACTTTACTACAGTGGTATCTCATATATCAGACTGCTCCCAAACATCTCTCCCACAGTGGGGAGGTTTTTTACCAATTACAATTAGAGGATTATTAGTGATTTAATTCCTAATACTTTCTTGAGATGTACTTAAAGATATTTTGAATTGGCAGAAATAACAAAGTAATTTTGGAACTGGGGATCCTGGGGTAGTGCTGTGTGGATTGCCCTAGTTAGGGATCCAGAGGGCAGCATGAGATACATATAGGGTACTTAAGTGGAGAGGGAAGAGCCATTTTGCCTGCAATTAGCCCTAGTCTCCCTTCCCCAACCCTTACCACATAAAAAGTTTTAGTCAAGTGACAGTGTTTAGTTCTTATTAGGCCCCCCCCCATTCAGTCCATTATCCTATCTCACCTGGATTGGTAAAATGAGGTCCGAATTTTGGGTCCAGTACTTTGAACTTCCCAACTTGCTTCCCATCCACTACTTCTAATGAGAGTTCTTTTTTTCTATCCCCAGATCAACTTATCTAACCCCACTTGGGACCCATTCTCTCCTCTCTCATCCTCTTCCTCATCTGCCACATCATGGCACTGGCAAAATGTGAGTGACATAGATACAGTGTTCGTCTTGCTCATCCTCCCAGGAACTCTTGATTTTTTCCTTCATTATCCCGGAGAGATGAAGAGGAATTCTATTCAGCAAATACTGATTAAGTAACTCTTGGGCCATTACATTGTACTAGTAGAAGCAATATATAGTCTTTGTCCTCAAGGAGAGTATAGTTTAGTAGGAGGGGTGGGAAAATAAAAGGAAGGTTCAGTGAGTTACCGTAGATTTATTTAGTAGAGAGACCCAAGTTTGTACATATCTATAGTTCTCACTTGGTTTGTTTATCCTCCGTTTATTTTTGCTTTTCATTACTTTGCCTACCATTCTGGTTTTCTCCCTTTTCTACTTTCACATGAAGGAATAGAGACAGTGGTGGTGGGAACTATTTTTACCTTTCCTAGTAGATTCTATAAACGGAGGTACACATGTCAGAGTGTCGGCCCATAAAACCTCATGAGAACATGGAGAATTAGAGGGTAGTTTATGCTGTGAAATGTTATAGTTGACTGCTACATTGCTTCCTCCCACTCTGAAAAAGTTTATTTTGTAATGGTAAATATTTCTCTGTGGTGATTTTATTTTTCTCAGTGTTCCTGCAACATCCTTGAGTTTAGGGCAATTGAAGAAACCTAGTGGCTGACTTAAAATTATTCCAGTTTTTTTTGATTTGATGTTAGAAAAGTCTCCATACAAATATAAGAGCAGAACTTTTAAATACAATTAGGCAAAATACTGCTTTTTCTCCTCTCATACCGCCACTCTAGTGCAGGCCCACATCACCTCACATCTGGACTAACACAGTAACTTGCTGGTTGATCTCCCTGCCACAAGAAGTCTTTCTCCACTACGGTTCATCACTGTAGTCCATTCTTCACTCAGCTGCCAGAGATCTTCCTAAAGTTCAGGTCTGACTATGTCTACCCCAGCTTCTCCCCTTCTCCCCTCCTCCTGGTTAAATAAACTTCAATGTCTCTCTTTCACCTTCAGAATCAAATATAAAGTCCTCTATTTAGTGTTCAAAGCCTCTCATAACTTTCACCTCCCTCCTGGAACTCTGTGATTCAGTGACACTGGCCTCCTTGTTCGTTGAACAAGACACTCCATCTCTTGACTGGGTATTTTTACTGCTTGTTCCTCATGCCTGGAATTCCCTCCCTCCTCATCTGTACCTCTTGACTTCTTACAAATCCCAGCTAAAATCCCACCTACTATTAAGCCTTTCTTGATCCCGCTTAATTCTACTGCCTTAATCAAATCTATTTATTCAAGGATCAAGTGAAATAATATTTATAAAAAGCACTTAGTACAATAGGCATTATATAAATGCTTATTCCCTCCCTTCCTCCTTCCCTCTGTTGATTATTTCCAGTTTATTATCTATCTGTCTATCTGTCTGTCTATCTATTTATCTATCTATCTATGTCTATAATTTGTACATAGTTGTTTGCATATTATCTTCCCCATTAGACTGTGCTTGGAGCAGGGATTATCTTTTGCCCTTCTTTGTGTTTCCAGTGTTGGAGACACAATGCGCTGCACATAGTAGGTGCTTAATAAATATTTATAGACTGACTTTATGGTGGTTTAAAGGGACACTGGGAAGAACCAGGAGCAGTTTTTTTGGAATTACTCCTATTAGAATCAAACTATAATTGCCTGGATGGTGAGGAATTTCTTCCGAAGTTGTCTTTTTTAAAATTAGCTCCTAGATAAGTCTCCTAATTTCTTTGAAGCCTCTCTGTAAAATAGGGGGGTTTGACTAGATGACTTTCTACCATTGAGTCTGATCATATGACCTTTAAAAATGTTCCCTGGAAACAAGGCAACAGATTTTCTTGAAGATAGACATTTTTTCCCCAGTTTGCTCTACCCAGAATGCCTTGTCCCAGAATGATGCATTAAATATGTCAGGAAGGGACTGGGTGGGTAGAGCAATATTTTCACGGTCTCAATTCTGATGTTATTTTATTCCTCTCCCACTACTAGAGACTATGAAAAGTACAGTATCTTTTAGAATATTTTAATGCATTATATGCTGCTTACATAATACATTTTAGAAGCATAATGATAGTACAGTGGTGTGGATTCATGGAAGACATAGACAGCAAATTATCTCTGCATCTGAGTTGTCTATTTGCTTTGATACAAAATAATTACCTGCTTGAGAAGTATTCATATGAAATGAGAAAAGCCTGAGAAAGGTTTGGAAGGATCTGAATGAATCCTGAATATAGAAGTTGTTGGTAACATAATTTTATCCTTTTCCTGATAGCATCGAGGGATTAAATTGATGCTGGAAAAAACTTCACTGAATAACCCAGGATTCCACTTGGGATAGTAGTATTAAGAACTGTTTTCAGTTTTGTGTTTAGTTTGTCAAGAAGATTTTGAACATTGATGTGTTCTTTTTCTTCATGTATTGATCTTGAATGTAGCAGTGTGTTTAAAGTATGTTATTCACTTAATCTTTAAAATGTTATTGACTTCTGATTTAGCCTTTGGAGGGTTGACTATGCACGTTCTAAAACGGGTTATATTCATTTTAAAAACCCATTGAAAAAGAAAAAAGAAAAACAAAATCTTGGTAACAGACATGTTAGTCGAGCAAAACAAATTTTCACAATGGCTATGTCCAAAATATATATGCTTTGTTGTATATTCTGAGTCCATTGTGCCTCTGTCAGGAGGTGGGTAAGATGGTTTACTATTTGTCCTTTGGAATCCTGGGACAAAATAGTTTATGGTAATTTTAACTTATTATGAATTCTTTTTCATTTTTGATAATGGCAGATTGGGTTTCCTCTCTTTTTTGTTCAGATGAAGTAATGATTTATATATTTTTAACTGCTAAATTTATTCCTTAGTGGCTTTTGTATTTTCAGTTTTTCTCTTTTTCAGGATTTCTGTTTCTGTGTTTGGGATTTTTTGATTTGTTGGTTTTCTTATTTTTAAAACTTGAATGCTCATTTCATTCATATGTTCTTTTTCTTGTTGAAGAAAGTATTTAAAAGTTATACATTTTTGAGATTTCTTTGGCTAAGTCTCAAAAATTTTGGTTTATTTTGTTCTTGTTATTTTCTTTAATGCATTTATCTATTGCTTCTTTGATTTGTCCTATGAACTACCAATTCATTAGGATTATTTACTTTGTTTAAGTTTGAATCAGTTTTTTTTTTTAGGCTATTGGGGTTAAGTGACTTGCCCGGGGTCACACAGCTAGTGTCAAGTATTTGGTCTGAGGCCAGATTTGACCTTAGGTCCTCCTGACTGGTGCTGGTGCTCTATCCACTGAGCCACCTAGCTGCCCCTGAATTGGTTTTTCAAAGGTCCTTTGAGTATAATTGTTATTGCATTGTAGTCAGTAAAAGAAATGTTTCTTTTGTTTATTAGGTTTTTTGAGGCATGCGGTTAGTTTTTGTAAAGGTGACATATACTACTAAGAATTAGGTATATTACTTTCTGTTTAGTAATTGCCAGAGACCTATCATATATAACTTTTCTAAAATTCTGTTCCGGTCCTTAACTTCTTTTAAAAATATTTTTGTGAGATTTGTCTAGGTCTTAAAAAGGCACATTAAGTTCCCCAACTGTTATAGGCTTCTTGTCTTTTTCTCCCTGTGATTTGATTAACTTTTTCTTTAAATTTTTTAGATGCTGTGTCACTTGGTGCATATATATATATATATATATATATATATATATATATATATATATATGTGTATGTGTGTGTGTGTATATATTTATATGTATATGTAAATATATGTATATAAAGTATTTGTGTTAATTCATTTTCTATGATGATTTTATACTTATTGTGTTTTCTTTACTCATTTCTTTTGATCATATCTATTTTTACTTTTGGCTTGTCCTGAGGTCATGATTGCTATGTTTGTTTTTTTGAATGTGCCTGTCTGCTTTTTTGAATGTGCCTGATGTATAATAAAATTTGCTACAGTGCCTAATTTTAATTTTGTGTGAACCTTTATATTTCCAGTATGCTTTTTTTAAAGAATATTTTTGGTGGATAGAGCACTGGTCCTGGAGTTAGGAGAACCTGAGTTCAAATCCTGCCTCAGACCCTTGACACTTGCTAGCTATGTGATCCTGGACAAGTCACTTAACTCCATTGCCTAGCCAAAAAAAAGAAGAAGAATATTTTTGGATTCTGTTTACCAGTCCATCTGCTGCCATCTATAGATAAATCTATTCCATTCACTCTTCACTATTATGATAGTATGTTTCTTTCTATCATAACCTGTTATTAATCTCTCTCCAACCCCCATCCTTCTCCCTTCTCCCTCTACAAATAGAAAGGGATGGAGAAAGAAAGAATCTGATCAGTATTAGTCATTTCTAATTAAAGTAGTCTGTTCCTATTCCTATAAATCTCTTCTCTTCCCCAAGCACAGGTGATGCTTTCTGGTTCTTTCTTTCTCTTTTTAATCCTCCCCCTATTTTCCCCCCATTCATTGCCCAAAGATCCGCCTTCCAAAGTTTGTTTTGTTTTTGACTATTCCCCCTCTTGTACTCTTCTTTGCTCCATGTGTGGCCACCTTTTTCTCCAGTGAGTTTAAGGTATATTGAGAGGGCCATTCTTCTTAGTTCAGTGGCCAGTCCTTTTTGATATAGGCATCCCTTTCTTCCATCACTGGGCCAAAAGGATCAGTAAAGAGATTGTTTCTTCATCCTGAAGTGCATATCCTTCTATACATGTTTGTGGGATAAACTTAGTCCAGTTAGGTAGTGCAGTGGATAGTGCTGGGCCTGGAGTCAGGAAGACCAGAGTTGAAATACTATCTGTGTGATCTTGGGGAATTCACTTTACTTCTGTCTCCTTCAGTTTCCCCAACTGTAAAATGGGGATAATCATAGCACCTACCTCCCAGAGTTGTGAGGACCAAATGAGATAATATTTGTAAAGCACTTAGCACAGTGCCTGGCACGTAATAGACACTTAACAAATACTTTGTTTAGTCTCCCTTCCTGTCGCT